AATTTGCTTTGTGTGAAGGAAAAATACCCCCCCCGGGTTTTAATAAAATAATTAAGTTGGATCACTATCTCATATACATATAGTGATGAACTCCCAAAGAATTAAAAACTTAAATGTGAAATATAAAACTATCTGAAGAAAATGAAATGGGATTTATTTGTATATTAGGGATTGGGAAGAATTTTTAAAAGCACAAATCAACTTCAAGGCAGATAATTATTAATTGGATTCAATATAAAAATTAAGGATTCTTGTTCAAAGAAGGTCAGCATAGGTTAGGGGAAAATATTTATAATGTCTATAACTGGCAAGGTTTATCTAGACTATACTAAGAACTACTGCAAATAAACCAACACACAGAAAAACTAAAAGCAGGCAGAGGATTTGAAAATACAACTTATAGAAGAAATTTAAAAAGCCAACACATCTATAAAAACTATTCAACCTCACTAGGTAATCAGAGAAATGCAGACTAAACTGAGATACCATTTTATACCCATCAGATTGGCATACATTAGAAAATGTGATTATACTAGGTGTTGTCTAGGATGAGGGGAAACCAGAAATCTTCAGTTCTAGCTGTTGGGAGTCATAGACTGCATCAACCCATTGGCAGAATCAGAGAATGCTCATATGTATATCCCTCTTGCCCAGCAATCTCCATCTAGAATATACATATGTACATACATACGTATCTGTGATAGACACTCATCCAGGCCCATAAAGGGATATGTACATGAATATTCATTGCAGCATTCTTTGTGGTAGTGGGAAATTAAGACAGGCTGTATGTTCATTCCTATAAATGAAAAATAAAATATGATAGATGTATATTCAGTATGAGAAATACTGAAGCAAATGAGCACATACCAACATGGTTGTGTCTTTTTTTTTTAAGATTTTATTTATTTATTTGACAGAGACAGCGAGAGAGGGAACACAAGCAGGGGGAGTGTGAGAGGGAGAAGCAGGCTTCCCACTGAGCAGGGAGCCTGATGCAGGGCTCGATCCCAGGACCCCGGGATCACGACCCGAGCCGAAGGCAGACGCCCAACGACTGAGCCACCCAGGCACCCCTGGTTGTGTCTTTTAAAACATAAGTGAGAACCTTGTGAAAAAAAGAAATTAAAAGGTAAGAAATAGAATGAAATTTATGGCAAATTGCATGGATGTCAATTTAAAATATTTACATATATAAGACACGTTATGTTTTACAAGGGTACAATTAGACCCAGGCACTTAAACATGTCAACCACATGAGACACAGTAGGTGTCTATGAGTGTGGAGCAGAATGAGAGTGGGGATTGGGTATAAAGTAGAAAAGTAAATAAAATAAGGTTAAATTAAATCAAAACAAGAGAAGTCTTACAGAGTCCAATGATGACATTTTGTGTAGTATTTCATAGAGGTGCCATCATTTACTGAATTCCCTATTTTTGTTCATTGAGATTCTTCGATTTTTCATGAGTATGGACTTTGTAGTAAATTAGACCTAGTTTAAGTTACTCTGCCATATACTAGCTCTTTGCCTTGGATGAGTTATGCAATACCTCTGAGCCTTAGTTTCTTGTAAAGTAGGAATAATACCTGCCTGGTGTGGTCATTGTGATAATGTTTGTAAACTGTTGAGCACAATGTCTGGCACAAGCCAGCAAGAAGTGCTAATCACTGTGAGACCCTTGCCAGAGACAGACCTATGGAGTGGGGAGCCCCTGTCAACAGGGGCCGTGCCCATCCTGCTCACCCCTGGACCCCACCAGCACCTGGCACACGGTGTACCTCAGTGACCAGTCCTTTGAATGATATGGTTTCTAAGTCAGCAGTTTCTGGGGTAATTTATCTTCCATAATATCTAATGACTTGATTAGGTTACCAGTCACCTTTTATGTATTTATTTAGTATCATTTGTAAGTGATTGCTCTTCACACAGCGTGGTGTCAGTGTCTAAGGTTCATACCACGATTCATGGTTTATGTTAGGGCCAGAGATAGTGGGAATCCCTTCTCCCCTCTCCCCTCTCCCTCCCAAAAAACACTCAAGAACGGCATCTCCCAGATGATGAGTCAAAAATACTTAACTTCTTCTGCATAGGATGGCTGTTTTATGCCCAGTGAGGAAACAAACACTGAAGTCACTGCTGTTTAACACTAAGCATGTCATATAATCACTTCCTGCTCAGTTCACTCATCTATTTAGTGGGGATAAGACCACCTGCTCCAACTGCCATAGAAAGCATTTTAAAGATTTTATTTTTAAGCAATCTCCACCCAAAGTGGGACTCGAACTCACAACCCCAAGATCAAGAGTCCCATGCTCTACCAACTGAGCCAGCCAGGCGCCCCAGAAAGCATTTAAAAACTGAGTTAGATCATATGAAAGTATCTTGAAAAATATAAAATAATATCACTGGTGATTAGTTACGGAATGTGGTTATTCTTATTACTATTCAATTAGTAGTGTATCTTTGGGGTGGGACTGAGGTGAAAGATGGAGTGGGTTCTTCAGAGACAGCCTTTTCTCCTTGTGCTGGCCACGCAAATGCTTTGTGCCAATTACCTGTGGGGTATGGATGTGCCCCCTTGGGCTCTGCAGAATGAGCCAGAGCCAGCTGGGCTTCCAGGCAGCAGAGCCAGTGCTCCTCAGATGGCCAGGGCCAGCCCCTGGGTTAAAAGCCTGCCTTCCTGACTAGTGGGCAGGGGAGCAGCTGCACAGCTCAGCCTCCTCCCTAATTGCTCTCTCTCCTACTTGGTCCACCAGGGACGGCGTGATGGATTTGGCAGAGTCCTGAAGCCAAAGGTATATTTCCTTGAACAATCCACAGACTTTTATTAACAGAGACTTCAGGGTATATGAGAGGCAAAAAGGGAACAAAGGTGGGGATCGGAGAGAGAAAGAGAGAGTGTGAAATGAATGGCTTTTTAAAGGTGCTGATTTTGGAATCTTCCCACAAAGAAGGGCTGGAGGTGACATGGCCTTAGAGCCCCAAGCCCATTTGTGACCTTCTCCATCAGCTGAGAGAAGAGATAGGAGGTGAAAATATTTGAACTGTGAAGGGAAGTTTTAAAACTACAAATGAGGAACTCTTTAACAAAGTCATTTGTAAAATGGTCCAGGAGAGGAGCTGGGAAATTCTTAATCTGATGAGAAGAAAAGAAAACAAAATTCTTCAGTGTGCACTTGAGTACTAGGAACAGAATCTTCAACAGGAGAAGGTCATGGAAGACTTGGTTATAGTCCAGTGTCCTCAGGCATGCAAATCTCTAGGCACACCTTTCTCGCTTGCCAAGGAAATTAACCATGTTTTATTGTGCCGAAATCTAAAAATGTCTGGTCGTAATTTCTCTTGCTTTTAATTTAAGCCTATTTTGCTTTTCAAAGGAAAACACCTGTTGTGCAATCACACATCTTTAAAATCCCCTCATTATTATGAAGAAATTAACTGAAAGAGAAAGCAAAACCAAACCTCCCTTTAACCATTTGTTAAACGAACTAAGTCTTGGCCATTCTCCATGGAAACTATTTCCTCCTGCTCCCTCCTCTGTAAAAATCTGCACATGCTCCATGTCTTTTAAGCCATCAGGCAAATCAGGTAAAACCTTCCACTAAGCAACTGCCTAGGCACTGCATGGCAGAAAGCTTCCTTCCTGGTCCTCAAGTCAAGCACTCCGCTTTCCCTTTGGTGACACCCATTGTAAACTGCTGCCACCTTGCAGAGAGATGTAGCCTGGAGAGCTATTCCTGGAACACCATGCTTATCCAGCCATTTCCATTCTGAGTTTGTGGTGTTCAGTTGGTACACCTATGTGATATGCTGCCATACATTTAGTCCTTTTCTATTTTTTTTTTAAGATTTTATTTATTTATTTGACAGAGACAGAGATAGCGAGAGCAGGAACACAAGCAGCGGGAGTGGGAGAGGGAGAGCAGGCTTCCCACCGAGGAGGGAACCCGATGTGGGACTCGATCCCAGGACCCTGGGATCATGACCTGAGCCGAAGGCAGACGCTTAACGACTGAGCCACCGAGGCGCCCAATCCTTTTCTGTTTTATGAGATCCTATGCTCATTAGAACTGCTGCCACCTGAGCCAGGCTCATGATCCACACAGCCAGGATTTTTGTTCTAACAGTAGCATCAGAAATCAATTTTAAGGGAGCTTGGTTGTCTTCCCTGATGTGAACATCAAAAGTTAAAGTCCCCTTCAGACAGCATTTATTCCCTTAATTTCTCTTTATAACTATTTCTTAAATTTCAATATTTTTAAACTGTGATGCCCCTTAGGCATTACAATTTACATAAGTTTAGTTTGAACTATATCACCTTTTTGGTTTACTGGTCCTATTTTACCTCTTTTAAGATTCAAACTCCCTTATCTCTCATTCTTGAATTCTAAGATTTGGGGATAAAATTCTTGTTCACCTGATCAAATACCTTAAATTTTCTACCTGGAGAGATTTTGACTGTATTTCATCTCAGATTTCATCCGTTTAGACAAAGTTTGTTTTGTTTTGTGGTTCTTACCTGCCATTCTGCCTCAATGTTACTCTCCACTGAAAACCCCATTTCCCATTCTGACCATGTCCTTAAGAAAGATTAACTTAGAACTTCATGCAAGAGAGTCAGGCACAAACATGGCTCTCAAGCATATCACTGCCAACCATCTTCCAAATAAATGAAATACTTAAAACATATCTATTTTTTTTTATTTATTTGAGAGAGAGAATGAGAGACAGAGAGCATGAGAGGGAAGAGGGCAGAGGGGGAAGAGGGCAGAGGGGGAAGCAGACCCCCCGCTGAGCAGGGAGCCCGATGTGGGACTCCATCCCGGGACTCCAGGATCATGACCTGAGCCGAAGGCAGTCGCTTAACCAACTGAGCCACCCAGGCGCCCCAGAAATACTTAAAACATATCTAAAAACTTCTCTACCAGGATTGGGAATTTAGAATTGGGCTTGTTTCTCTGCTTTTAATAAATCACTTTCCTTTTATTGCTCAGGCTAATATTAAAGCGCAGCTTGGATCCTGAGAACATGCCGTCACAAATGGAGATTTGCCAGCAGCTCAGGAGCAATTTCCATGATAGGAGGCAGCCAACCCCAATTCCAGATGTGGCACCTAATCCACCAATGGTCAGTTGAGAGTTCTGGAATTAGAGGAGGAACGGGTGGAAAACTGGGTGAAGGTAGGCAATTACAATATCTGGGATTCTCTTTGAGACACAAGTCTTGGCTGTTTTTCTCAATATCCTCAACATTCAAATCAAATTCACAGGCGGGCCAGGATAAGAACCACCTATGCATCATATAAGCCATTCCTGAAAATCATTCTGTACTCAAACAACCTCCATCTGGGTGTTCCTCTGCCAAAATTGCCCCATAAATGGCATACCCTTTGAGTTCAGTATTGTCCTCTCTAGGCTCCTCTTAAAATGCAATTAGTGCTGGATCAATTTAACATTCCCAAATTATGAGAGAAATAGGAACCAAGGGAAGAGACTCTTTGAGGGAAGAAAACACTCTGAAGAGCAGCTGAGATGCTGAATTCAAACTTGAAGTTATAGTCACATTAGCTTGGGGAGTTTGTCAAGTTTAGGCCAAGAATCCAGCTGGTCTGGCATTTCCTTCTGAACTTTCTGGTGACTGAGATCGATAGTTTCCCATTCTAGGTATAGTTTTTCCCTTTTTGCTTTGGCTGGTTTGTTCCTGGGCTAAAAACCATTCCATATGCATAGATCCCTGTCTGAAATTCTGGCATCCCTGAGCTGCCACAAAGCAAATCCTACATGGATACAAGAGGAGAAGCACTTCTACTAGCCAGAGGTATGAGACGGATTTCAGAAAGAACTTCAGAACAGAAAGATGAGATGACTTTCAGATGGTAACTCAGTTCCTCAGCATCCTTAGGTTTTAAATGAAAAGGATAAGTAGTTAACTCCACTTGAGGTATAAGGTAGAGGCCTGAAGGAGGGTTGAAAGGTTCTCTGAGGAAAAAAAGTTCTCTGAAACCCTTATCATCCCTGACTTGATAGAGGGACACTACTGACCCATTATTAACAAGGCCTAATTTTTGTATGTGAGATGTTAAGAATTACTCCACAGTTTAGATGTGGGGATGGTGCTCATATATCTCAAAGGATCAAGAATATCCTCTGAAATCTTCCAGTTTCCTTTACTAATAATGGGTAGATTCATCATGTTCTTCCTCAAACCTCATCTTTGTAGACCAGGAGTTTTCACCAGGGATGGGAGGGATTTGGAAGAGAGGGGGAGACATTTATTAGAAACTTCTGGAGAGCTTTTCCAAATATAGTGAGTCTGCTTCCCCTTCTCATGAGCATATCAAAACCTTGGAGGGGGAAATGTGTATTTTAAGAATTTCTACATGTAATTCTAATGGTCAACTCCCTCTACCCTTTTGTAATCACTGTGCTGAACTGAAGATCTCTAATCTTTTTGTTCTTCATAAGGCCTTCTCTCATTGCAGTAATAACTCACGTTTGACATTTGGATGGAATAAAGTTTCCATTCATGTGGGACTGACAGTGGTTGGGGATTGCAATGAACATTTGCAGTTACAAAAATTAAATTGGTACTTACATATGATGCCCATAAAACTATTAGACCCTATCTGATGCAGAGCAGCCTTATCTAATTTGTTTTTTCACTTGCTTTTCTCTCAGTGGTTTTCCCTGAACAGATTCCTCGAGTGACTGAGCAACCAAAATGGCAGGGGCCAACAACAGCTTCTCGGAGGGCTTCATTCTGATGGGTGTATCTGACCATCCCCAGCTGGAGATAATCTTTTTCATAGTCATTCTCTTCTCTTACTTGCTGACCTTGTTTGGGAACTCAACTATTATCCTGCTTTCCTGCCTGGATGCCCGACTCCACAGCACCATGTACTTCTTCCTCAGCAACCTCTCCTCCCTGGACCTTGCTTTTACAACTAGCTCAGTCCCCCAAATGCTGATTAACTTATGGGGACCAGATAAGACCATAAGCTATGGTGGCTGTGTGACCCAGCTCTATGTTTTCCTCTGGCTAGGGGCCACTGAGTGCATCCTGCTTGTGGTGATGGCATTTGACCGCTATGTGGCAGTTTGCCGGCCCCTGCATTACACCACCATTATGAACCCTCGGCTGTGCTGGCTGCTGGCTGCCATTGCATGGTTGGGCGGCTTGAGCAACTCTGTGATCCAGTCAACGTTCACTCTGCAGCTCCCATTATGTGGGCACCAGAGGGTGGACAACTTCCTGTGTGAGGTGCCTGCCATGATCAAACTGGCCTGTGGAGACACTAGTCTCAATGAAGCTGTGCTCAACAGTGTCTGCACCTTCTTCACTGCTGTCCCACTAAGCATCATCCTGATCTCCTACTGCTACATAGCTCAAGCTGTGCTGAAGATCTGCTCAGCTGAGGGACAGAGAAAGGCCTTTAATACATGCCTCTCCCATCTGGTGGTGGTATTCCTCTTCTATGGCTCAGCTATCTATGGGTATCTCCTTCCAGCTAAGACCAGCAGCCAGGACCAGGGCAAATTCATTTCCCTCTTCTACTCTGTGGTCACGCCAATGGTGAATCCTCTCATCTACACTCTAAGAAACAAGGAGGTAAAGGGGGCGCTAAGGAGGCTGCTGGGAAAGGGAAGAGAACTTGGCTGAGAGAAGGGAAAACTCCATCATCATTTAACTCCTCTTCTTCTACCTTTTCTCATTCTTGCTCTGACCTGATGAATATGAGGAGTACCAACCCTAGTACAACCAAGATATGTTCCCAACAACCCTAAGCTGCTAAGACATGGTTAGAGTTATTTCTAATATTCTATGCTTATTTACTAAAAATCCTGTGGACTACAGGTAACAATAGATCTTAGGTGTGTCTCATCAACAGCTCAGAGGTTTTTGACTTAGTACAGACCTAGCTCACTGTCCTTGTTGTACACATGTATTTATTACATGTAATGAATATTACTTGTTTTGTATTTCTAGAGAATTATGTACTTTAAAAAGCAGTTCCACTTGTAATATCTTTATATAATGATGCTACTATTCCATAAAATCAAGCCAGACATTAGTCCCAAATGAAAACTCAATTCATCTTTGTACCCTATCCATCCCCCCATCTTTCTCCATCTCTCTTTGTCTCTTCTGAGTATTTCAGTCTGTCTACCCATACTTCCTTTTTTAAAAAAGATTTTATTTATTTGAGAGAGAGAGAGAGAGAACAACAGAGTGAGAGAGAGTGTGTACAAGCTGGGGGGAGGGGGAAAGGGAGAGGGAGAAGTAGACTCTCTGCTGAGCAGGAAGCCTGATCCAGGGCTCGATCCCAGGACCCTGGGATCATGACCTGAGCTGAAGGCAGACACTCAACCAACTGAGCCACCCAGGTGCCCCTGTCTACCCATACTTCCTATCCATATGTTCCTCTGTCATCTTGTTTACCCTCTCCTTTATGTCTACATGCCATTTTCTGCTTCATCTAATATTTAATGAGAAAAAAGAAAGACTATTTTCCTTTCAATTAAACCTATTTATTTAAATTGTCTCCTCCAAAGTCCCAGCCATGAGATTTGCTATCAGCATTTGGATATGTTGTGTATGATTGGTGGATTGTGGGATGCTCTGAGACTCCTTAAGCAAGTTTAAGAGCCCAAGAAAGATTCTCTCTCCATAAAGTATGTCCCCTGCCTCCAGATCTGGTTTTTCAGTCTTAACATTCCTGGAAGTCAGCAATCAGTCCAGCACACCATGACTCACCTTGAGGAACACAGGTATTGGAATTAGAATGCAATATGTGATATAGCACATTACTAGAATTGCCATGGGAATACATACCTACTACCACATTTCATGTACTCTTTCCTTAGAGAAACTGGGTTAATATGAGTAAGTTGCTTAGCAATTACATTTCTAAAGAAAAGGAAATCAATAGATCTTAGGACTATTTTCAAAAGAGTGTTGTACTTTGTGTCTCCCACAGCACCTAAACACATGCCTCATACACAGCAGATGCTCAATAAACATTTAGTGAAATGAATTAATTAACAAGCCCCACAAGTATCCCATTTTCACACTATGAACTAAATTTGTGAAATGAACGATTTTTTTAAAAAAAGATTTATTTGACAGAGACACAGCGAGAGAGGGAACACAAGCAGGGGGAATGGGAGAGGGAGAAGCAGGCTTCCTGCTGAGCAGGGAGCCCAATGTGGGGCTTGATCCCAGGACCCTGGGATCATGACCTGAGCCGAAGGCAGACGCTTAACAACTGAGCCACTCAGGAGCCCTGTGAAATGAACGATTTTTATGTTTACTACTTTGGAGTTACCCTGTCCCTTGGACAATGGCAAACAAATGGTGACAAATACCCCTTTTCCACATATCTATAATGCCCCCTCCAAAGAAATCTAGAAATCCTTCTGAATTGGTTTTTCCAGTTGTAGACCAGAGCCATGACCTATATTCTCAGTTTTCCACTCAGTAATATTTCAAGTGTGTCTCCAGGACTAGCCAAGTACTGGCATTATCTTGGTGCATTTATCAAACTCCAGAGACTCGCAGGTTCAAAATTTTTATTGAACAGCACACTTAGAGTAGATGAAGTTCTCAGAAGGTAGGATCACAATGACTAAACTCCTATGTTAATATATAAACCAAAATGACAGTGGATTAATTTATGAGAACTGTAACTACCAAGGAAACTGAACAGTCATATCCTCTAGGAAAATCATTTAAATGACTAAATAACTTGGGAGGAAATAAGAGGAAAATAAAGAGGGAATCCTTAAACACTTTGGAATAATGAAGAACTCCCCATCAAAAATACAGATTATTTTTAATCTAACATGGAGTTAGGGGCATAGACAAACACAGGGAATTGGAGGAGAAAAAGCTAATTGCCATATTTCTTCCCACAATCACTCTGCTCTCTCCCTCTCTTTCCTAACAATGTAGCTGTCTAGTTACTCTGCTGAGTAGGGAGGCAGCAGATAACTTAGAAAAGTCATGACAGGAGGAGCTAAGAGTCATTTTTATGTACTCTGGAAATAATGAGATATGGTAGCTAGTAGATCTGATCTCTCCAGCACTCCCTTCCATCATCTGTAAAGTGAAAAGAATAGGGGCACCTGGGTGGCTCAGTCGTTAAGCGTCTGCCTTCGGCTCGGGTCATGATCCCAGGGTCCTGGGATCGAGACCCGCATCGGGCTCCCTGCTCTGCGGGGAGCCTGCTTCTCCTTCTCCCACTCCCCCTGCTTGTGTTCCCTCTCTCGCTGGGTCTCTCTCTGTCAAATAAATAAACAAAATCTTAAAAAAAAAAAAAGTGAAAAGAATACCTGGCAGGAACATTATAAAGATCAAATAGATAATGTGTGCAGGAGTGTTTAGTGGAAACTGCTCAGTGTCATATTTAATCAAAGTGGAATGCATTCATAGAGAGTTTAATCAGTCTATTTCACTTCCCACCTCCCTCCATTTATGTCCTGATCCAGTATACTCCTTCACTGGGCAACAAGTGTCTTCATAAATGATGGATGGATGAACGGGCCAGAATAAAGGCAGAGAGACCACAGAGGAGTGTGCACTGTTACTTCCCTCAAACTCCACATCCCAATCTATCAGCTCCCTCTTCAAAATACATCCAGAATATTCTAATCAAGGATAACAAAGAAACATAAAAATTAGGAAAGTATTTCAATGTCCACCAAAATGGAAATGATTGAAGATTGACTATGTTCTGGTACATGACTAAACGCAGCAGCCTAAAAAGAAAAGGTGAGGTCGACATATTGAAATAGAAAACCTTCAAGATAAAGTAAATGGGCAAAATTGCATAGGAAGGTACAGAAAAATATACACACAAGTAACAGTTATTTCTTCTGGAAAGAGAGTTCAGCTTGGGAAATAAGGAATGCGGAAACTTTCTTTTAATAAGAGAATGGTTTGCGGTACGCACTGGATATTAAAAAACTGAAATAGGGAAGAAAACATTGGGTTGGAAACACTAAATCTGTCATTACAGTCGCTTAAAAACGGTCTTGGTTTCCACTTCTGGGGGATAAAAAAGGTCATACTACTAACTTCATAGGATTGTTGTCAGGATTACGTAGTGTGGACGTGTTTACAATTGTGCCTAGTACACCAACAGCGTGATAGTCTTTGACTACTGTTGCTGTCACATCTGTCAAACCTTCTGAGCAACACCTGTGTTGTAAGGTAAACCCATCGAAGTCAAGAAGCGGAAGCGCCTGGCCAACAGAAGAGCAGTAACCAATAGGAGAGAGTTAACAAACGCCCATAGCACGGATCCCGTTTTCTTAAATACGCTGATTGGCCCCAGGGCATGACGCCAAGAAGATCCTGTCGATTCATTGGTGAGGAGGACTGTCGATTAGTGGAAGGCGGAAACCACAGAAACAGAAACGTCCTTTAGGATGCGCCTGCGTGCTCCACCCCGCTCATTTCGGGCTGATCCGTTGCGCATGCGTCAGTCCGGTTGAACGTCCCGGCATGCCCCGGGGCGCTTCCGGCCCAGCGGATTGGAAAAGATGGCGTGGCTGGTGAGTGACGTTTGTGAAGCTGACTTTTCCTGTTGGGAGGGCTCTGAGTGCTGCAGCTCCTCCCTCTACCCTGCAGCTCTGGTCTTCCCTCCCAGGACGCGAAGACACCGAGTGGCCGTCTGCCGGGACCTCGCCCCTCTAGGGGGGCGTGGGGAGGAGGTGGCCGGCGCACCAGTCCGTCTCCCTTCGGGGCACCCGTCCGTGCATTTCCCCCTGGAGAGACCTTTGAAAGGTTCCGAGCCTCCTACCCTTGAGATTTACGCCGATGAAGCACTTGTTCACTGAGGCCTATTGCCTCAGAAGAGTACTCAGACACTCCCCTTGCCCTCAGAGAGCCCAGACAGGTGATCACAACCCACCAGAAGCATCCTGGTATTAGGTGGAGTTGGATAAGGCGCTTTGAGGGAGTGTTAGACAAGGCCGAGGAGTTCAAAGCATTCGGAAGCTTCAAGAAGGTGGTAGTGGTGGTGCCAGTACTCATCCTGTGGGGTACTTGCCTTTCGATGGTGCTCTCCTTAAGGACATAAAAGTTTACTTCTTTCTACATTTCTAGGCTCAGATGCCCTTCCTCCCCTGGTTGCAGAGACGGAGACCTGCAGCCCCTTGTGTTCACTTTCTATGGAAAGAATGAATAGGACCCTGAGAAAAGACTATTACTCTAGGCAGGAAAAATTTAGTTGGTCAAAGCACTAAGGCCGGAAAGGCCAGAGCCTGTTTGTTCCAGGACCTGGGAATGGTTCACCTGAGCTGGTTGGAGAATGTGCATAGGGTAGTGGGCAAGGAGGCTGGAAGGGCCTTGAATGTCGAGGACAGCCTTGCAAGCTTGGAGATCTTGGCTTATTTCAGAGGCAACAGGAAGTCTCCAGGGCTTTGGAAGAGACTAGTTATACAATTGGATTAGTTACATGGAAAGTCAGGAAGTCCAGATCTGCTCTGTAGGAAGACTCGGTGGAGAGATGAAGACTTTCATAACAGCCTGGTCTACTGACATGTCCTTAGATGGGTTCCTAACCAGGGACGATTTTGTCCTCAAAAGGCATTTGGTGACAATGGAGTCAATTTTGTGGTCATACCTCAGGGTTGCTCATGACATCTAGTGGATGGAGGCCAGCGGTGTGGCTGCACCGTCTCCTATAATGCACAGAACAGCATCTCCCCCCCCCCCACCCCCCAACCCACCCATCCACAATAAATCCCTGTCTGGACCAAGATGTCAGTAGTGCTGAGGTTCAGCAATCCTGTTTAGAATGTTAGTAGTGGAAATGGAGGGAGACAGATGTCAGAGACATCTCAAACAGACCAGATTCCTCTTCTTTTGTAGCAGTGTGCATTGGGCCTCCCAGGAAACCCAGACTTTACTTGTAATACTCAGTAAATCTAAACTGCAAAAACTCCAGAGGTTCCAAAAGAATGACCAAGCCCACAAAGCATATCTGAGCCACATCCTCCATCTGCCAGACCAGGGCTGCACAAAGTTCACTCTTGGAGGCATGACCCCTACCATAGGGACTTAGGTTACTTCCTAGGGTCCTGTGTTCTCCACGAGTAATGATTGCTCAGTCCTCACTGTCTGCCAGGAAGCCAGCCAAGGATGAGTACCAGGACTATGAGGCTGGAGCTAAAATAGGGAAAGCAGAGAATTGCGTGTGATGAGGTCAGCAGTGAAATGGGCACACTCCAGCCGAGGGTCCCAGGATTCCCCAGGCTGTTCCTGCACTGGCTGGTAGGGTAGTCCCTTCACAGGAGAGGCTGAGAAGAGGTGCCCAGGGGTATGTGAAGTGGGGTCAGGAGGCTGGAGGGATCCAGCTCCTGTTTTGGCTGCAGGCACCCATCTGCCACCTTAGACTGAAGAACCACAACAGATATCTATGGAGGGGGGGTGATCTGTGGCTTTGGCCTTCTTTGGGTTGTGAGAATATGGATCTTGCCTATAGGAATGGTTAGTAATCTTCGGCAAGGAAGTGTCCACTGAGAATTCATGTCAATTAGTTAAAATGTTTCAGTGAGGAAGTATAGAAACCATATGGAGAGTCCTAGTATTTCATATACAGGAGGGAAAACTGGCTTCTCAATAGACATATGAAAGGCTGAACCAAACCAGGAGGGTGTTCTATACCTGAGAGGAGATCTATAGGCTTGGAGGTATTACCTTTTATACACCTACTTCAAATTCATTCTCCAGTGGCTAGAGCAGAGATCAGGCTGTGTGAGTCAATGGGAGGTAGACAGTAAGGTATCTAACACAGTAAGTGCAGGGGACAGATACTCCACATGGGGTTGGGGGAACACAGCAAAAAGGTTGGATTAGTCAAGACTTGGAAGAGAGGCCCTGCAAATCTGGGTCACATCTTGGGGGTGTTGGAGCTGGGTGGTGCTGCCCAACTGGTGCTGGTACTTCCAAAGGTCTGGTGAGGTGATTCTGGAAGATAGAGTGTCTACCTCATTGACAGCGTTGTATCTGGCTGCTAAGGAACCTGGTATGTCAGAGAACCAGGAAATATCAAATATTTCCTGAAGGAATGAATAAATGAATGTGTTCTCCAATTCTTACCTGTCTCCTCCAGACTGTCCGGGGCAGCTGACAGGCTGGACTTGGGCTGAGTTCCTTTCTCTGCCCAGCAGACTGGAGCATGAAGCAGTTTGGAGGGTGGAGGCAGCCCCCACTTCCAACAAGGCAAGCAGTCAGCAGTTGCCCCCAACTCCCTGGCCGTGGCACCCCAGGAGTGGGAGAAGCCTGCTACAGAGGCCTCCCTGGGCACCTCCATTCCTTGTTTCCATTGACTTCCACTGGTTCCCTCATTAAGCAAATCCAGCTCTTTGAGCGGGTATCCAAAGCCCTTCCCTAACTGATCCACTCTGGGCTGTGTCTCTGTTCCCCACCATGATGTCCAGTGAAGTCAGCTGTCCCAGACACGGCACAGTGAAACCCCTCTGTTTGCCTTCACATGGGCTCTGGAAAGATGTTATTTTTTTCCCTCTGTGTACAGCAGAGTTAAGCCTGGGTCTCTGGGAACTGACCTGCCTAGCCTGTTGTGAGGGTCATGCTCAGGGACAGTGTGTGCAGGGAAATGAGCCCGGGCAAGGCTCAACTGGGGGAAACGCTGACATAGATTCTTAGGACTTGCCTTCCTTACCTTTCTTCCCCAAAATTAAAACTTTTAAAATTTCTTTTATTTTTTGGTTTTGAAGTAGAACATTCTTCTTTGTTCTTGTTTAATTCTTCAAAAAGACTGAAGCAGAGACCATGACACTTGCTTTCACCATAATTAGACAAGGTACTAACAGCTTGTATGCACAGACCAGGAAACAGGACGACATGCCCAACTTTTACCACGTTTTATCCATGGAAATTTCACAGAAGGTTAAATATCTGTTCAGAATTAATATGATTTAGATTGGATTTTAGTGCTCTTGACACGCCATTCCTTTCTCCTGCACCCCTGAGTTTTCCTTACACCTGTGATGTCCCTCTCAGTGAGTGTGCAACCCTCCCCAACCTGCTCCTCTGCATGTTCTCCACAGCCACAGGCTCTACCCTTGGATCCTTTTGGGACCCTATGGGCCTCCGCATGAGGATAAAGTTTCTAATGCAGAACATTAGCACCAAGGGGCAAGAGAGTGGAGGGAGAAACACCTTTATTTTCATTAGAAATAGTAATGCTTATAAACCTGTTGAAACCATTAAATGTAAGACCCAAGAAACCAGGAACCTGGGTGGGGGTGATCTAGAGGAGAAATCTTAGAAAGAGGAACCCAGATGTCACACTTGCTCTGAGATTAAGTCACTTAGAGTAGTGGTACCCTGTGGCTGAAGCTGTCCCTCCTGCTTTGCTGTCTTTTCTGGATGACTGGAGTACAGAGCAGTGACCTCTCTGAGGTTGATGTACCAGAGAGCAGGTGCCTAGAGGTCATTATTGGTTTAGGATACGTCGAGGCCATTCACTTCTAGATGTGCTTCCCATGAGCCCGAAAAATTTCTTCTCTGACCTGCCCCAGGAATAGTTCCCAGGCCACTAGCCACCCATTCTCTTTTCAGAACAAGTTTACCCTAGTTTCCTAGCAGGACTTTGGATCCTGTGTTCAAAGCAGATGGAAGTCCACGGTGACACAGGACTGGGGGTCACAGGCAGACCTAGAAAGAGAGCTCAGCACTCTAATGCTGATTCCTAGTCCCGCTGTGGTTCTTGAGATCCACTTGTAGGTCTCCTGCTGAGCCACAGACTGGCTGGCAGAAGGCTCCACAAGCCAATGGAAGCTCCAGGAGAGACTCAAACTAGGGAATTATCTGTTGGCTTTCCTACACCATCGCAGCATGTGTCCCTTCTTGGGTGTGAGTGTGTCTTCTGTGTGCCCCCTGATGGTGGATGAGGACGGGATTCTTGGGGAAGCTTTTCTCACTCCGAGGGCACTTGTACGGCTTCTCCCCGGTGTGTGTCTTCTGGTGGGCACGGCCGTGGGTGCCGTTGTTGAAGCTTTTCCCACAGTGCGCGTGGGGCGGGGGGGGGGGGGCTCTGCCCAGTGTGGGCTCGCCGGTGAGCGCTGAACTGGGAGCTGTTGTTAAATCTCTTCCCACAGACAGCGCACTCGTAAGGCTTCTCGCCGGTGTGGGTCCTCTGGTGGACAATGAGGCTGGAGCTCTGGTTGAAGCTTTTCCCACATTCCCCACAGCGGTAGGGTCTCTCCCCCGTGTGCATCCTTAGGTGGGCAATGAGGTTGGAGCGCTCACTGAAGCCTTTCCCACATTCACTGCACTTGTGAGGCTTCTCTCCTGTGTGGATTCTCTGTTGCTGAATGAGGTAAGAACCTTGGCTAAAGCTTTTCCCACACTGCTGGCACTTAGATGTTTTTTCCAATTTGGGGACTGGCTGGTGGTGACAGGGAGAGCCCTGAGAGTAGTCTCCCCTACTCGGGACATGCGCCCAGGCCTTCTCACCAGCACGAAGAGTCTGCTGACTCTGCCTGTCCTGGGACGGGGGTCTCCCTGCACGCTCCCCTGGAGAACGTCTATGTTGCCCTCTTGGCTCAGGCTCACCCTTCTGGCCTCTCTTGGGCTCGGGGTGCCAAAAAATTTCACTAGACTTTCTCCATAGGGCCTTCTTCACTTCTGCTTGCCCTGAATCATCCCATTTCTGATTCTCTGTTTTAGTTTTATTCTTGATCTCAAGACTGGAGGGAACAGAAAGACACGGGAGTATGGAGAAAGAACAGAACAATGAGGAAAGTTACAGTTAAAGCGCCATAAGGGAGAAATACCTAAATGGAATTCTTCACGGGATTTAGCCTTCTGCTGAGTAATAGCCTCATTTCATTTTCCAGTTGTTCTATATTCAAGCTCCAAACCCTGTGGTCATGGGGAAAAAAACTGCTAGATTCCACTTACTGTTCTATACTGTCTCTTTCTTTTCTTTTTCTTTTTTATTTTTTTAAAGATTTTATTTATTTATTTAACAGAGAGAGAAAGCAGGTGGAGCGGCAGGCAGAGGGAGAAGCAGGCTCCCCACAGAGTGGGGAGCCCTATGCACGACTCGATCCCAGGACGCCGGGATCACCAAAGGCAGACGATCAACTGACTGAGCCACCCAGGTGCCCTCTTTCTTTCTTTTTTTAGGATTTTGTTTATTTGAGAGAGAGAGAATGAGAGAGAGAGAGAGAGGGCACAAGAGGGGGGAGGGTCAGAGGGAGAAGCAGACTCCCTGCTAAGCAGGGAGCCCGATGTGGGACTCGATCCCGGGACTCCAGGATCATGACCTGAGCCGAAGGCAGTTGCTTAACCAACTGAGCCACCCAGGCGCCCTCCCTCTTTCTTTTTTTAAAAAGATCTTACTTATTTATTGGAGAAAGAGAGAAAGCAAGTGTGTGCACCAGGAAGGGATAGGGAGAAACAGGTTCCCCACTAAGCAGCGAGCTCAATCCCAGGACCCCGGGATCATGACCTGAGCCAAAGGCAGATGCTTAACCACCTAAGCCACCCACACACCCCTTAAATGGAATTCCTCACGGGATTCAGCTTTCTGCTAAGTACTAGCCTAGTTTCATTCTCCGATTGTAGTACTTTCAAGCTCCAAACCCTGTGGTCAAGGGAAAATTGCCCCTAGATTCCACCTACTGTCCTATACCATCTCTCTTTTTTAAAAATAGATTTTATTTATTTATTTGACCGCAAGAGAGTGTGCGCACAAGTAGGCAGAGCAGCAGGCAGAGGGAGAGGGAGAAGCAGGCTACCCGCTGAGCAGAGATCCTGACACGGGGCTGGATCCCAGGACCCAGGGATCACAACCTGAGCCGAAGGCAGACGCTTAACTGACTCAGCCACCCAGGCGCCCCATACTGTCTCTTTTTGGATGTTCAGACAGTGACACGTCTGAGGCCGAGAGGCCAGCACTGGGTTATCTGCCAGTCTATCTCCAGGCTTCACCTCAACTCTTGATGGCCTTGCCGCCGGCAGCTGAGTAACAACAGGCTGCCCTGAGCTTGGCTGAAATGAGAGGAAAGCGTGTTACCACGATGTGGCCAGCACACGCTCAGGCCAGGAAAGGAGGGTGGTGCTGGAGCAGGAGGGCAGGGGAGAGAGTCTGGGCTGGAGCCTGTGTCAGTCTGAGGAAGCCGAGGAAGGGAGCTGCACAGGAAAAATGCCACGTACTCCGTGAAAGAGGCTGGCGGATGCGGACCTGGGCTCTGAAGGTCAAGGGGAAAGCCTCCACACCGAGAGCCGGCCTCCCGGGCCCATGCCAGGCCGTCCATCAGGACAGTGAGCACACCAGCGGCAGAGGCAGCTCCCTCTTGATGGCTGGGCTGATGGCCACTGGGGGGATGTCCCTGTCCCTTGGCTGTCAGAGCCAAGAGCTCCATCAACTCTGTGTGGGAACAAGACTGGCGGGTCACGTCTCCTACCTTCCCGGCCAGAATCCCGGAAGTCCTGCTCATCCCCGGCTGCACCATCCGCCCGGGCCCCTTCTCCGACCTCTGTGGGCTCCCCGTTCTGCTGACTCAGCTCTCCGGGCTCTGCAGCCCTTCCTTCTTGGCCAGGAACAGCACGGCTTGCCACCGTGGGTGCAGAGGCCCAGGAGCTTGACAGGGCCTCACAGAGGACACAAGGCTCAGGCACACGGCCTGCCCTCCCCTTGTGGTACCTCGACGGCAGGCTGGTGAACTCGGTGCGACACTGCTCTGGGGTCCGCAGAAAGCCCTGCTCCCGGAGTCGTCCTGCCACCGCCCTGTAGATCTGGCTGTGCTCACGAGTTTGGAGTTTCTCATGATGTTGAGCATCCCACAGGATGGCCAGGAGCGTCTCGGTCTCCTCGTCGCCCCAGTGCACACCTGCTGCCCAGGGCCAGGGGACACATGATAAGACCACGGGGGCCTGCACACCACACGGCCGGGTTAGCAGCTCAGAAAGTTACGTGCCGGTTTGTCAGGCTCTGCCACAACTGTGTGCTGTCATCCCTGGGAAGCTACCCCACTGTGGGCTTCTTTCCTAAAACACACACGCTCGGCGTAGCGGGAAGGGCATCCTCTCTGACGGAGAAGGGGCTGTGGAATATTTACCAAAGCTGCCCCTTTGTTTCTCTTTATCCTGAATCCCACTCATTTGTCCTGAGAGCCGATTCACGGTAAGCGTGATGCTCACCTGTGTCCGCGGTGGGGGAATCCCTGAGGGAGTGCTCTAATGGTCTGATGCTCTGAACGGGCCCGCTGCCCCCCAAAGGCCTGGGCCGTTCGAGTGCCCGCTGCCCCTCAGGTCAGTTTCCACTGTGTGCGTGAGCACATGTGCGTTCGTGTCGCCCTGCTCTTCCCACAGGCCGTGTCTCCCTCGTTGCGGGCTGTCCCCCAGTGCCATGCTCTACCTGCCACACTCTGTCCCCACTGCTTTCCATATCTCGCCCCTCCCTTGTTCCCGCGTGCTGTCACACGTGCTGTCCACCCTGTCCTGAGCCCTCTGGTGTCTTGCTTTCCCTTTCTTGCAGTCTCTGTGTGTCGTGCCTGCTCTCAGACTCTTCGGCTTTATCTCCCTCCCTCCACCCAACAGTCTGCACTGCCTCTGTCTGTCTCCTCCTTTCTCGGGTCTTCTGGTCTGCATCTCTCTCTGAACAAAGGAACACAGACAGTCTGGCCCTGAGGGAATGGGCATCCTTCCGCAGAGAGTGATCTTTGTCATTCTTCTGAGTGACGCCCCTGTAGAGGGCCCTCTGTGTAGGGCCATAGAGTGTCTGTCCTTCCTGACAGAGGGATATGGCTCTGTCCTCGCACGTGACTGGTCCCTGTAACAACACCGGGGGCTGCTGCCGCCTATAAAGTAGCACTGCTCCAGCCTGGCGTGGGGCAGAGACAGGACCACTGGCACCAGATGCGGGCAAAGCAAGGCAGGGAGGTCAGGCCTCCGAGGGAAGCACCAGGGTGAGCACAGAGCCATGTGGAGACGCCAGATGGACAGACAACAATGCAAGGGACAGCCAGTGGATAGACCTCATGATCTTTCTAACATCCCTGGTAAGAAGGGGCTTGGGGGGAAGAGTGAAATGGGAACCTCGGGAGACAACAGGCATCAAGCACAGCTCACCTGGGCCCCAGCTGCCCAACACACAGTCTCCTGGTCTCGAAGACCCCTCTTCTGGGAAAGGTTCCTGGGGGCCTGCGCCATCAGCCAGGCTGAGGAGAAAACGGCCTCTGGTGGAGGGCGGCTGCCACAGAGCACGGGCTGAGTGGGGTCACAGGCCAGCCGCGCTGGTAACCTGTCACAAACGCATATTCCTGGGCCCCACCTGCACCCACTGTATCTGAAGTTCTGGGGATGTGCCTGAACACGCCCCCCAGGTGCGTCTGAGCCAGCGCCAGTGGCCTCTGGGTGGCGAGAAGCTCCTTTCAGCAGATTGCTGGCATAATAGCTGTTTATTTAAAAAAAAGACTTGCTTCATTCTAAAGTAGTTGTATGCACAGTATAGAAAAAAAATGTTTCCTGTGCACATTATAGATAAAGCTCCAGCCCCACCACCTAGAGATGACCCTAGTAGTCCTAAAAATACCACAGTAACTCAAGCCTTTCATTTTTTTCAGGCCAGCATAATATATTCTGTCCCAGAAATCCATCTGCAAGAATTCTCGTAAGGAAGGGGTTCATTTTTTTGACTGATTAATGGAACCTCAGGGGACACACACAAGTCTGATTCTGAGGAGTTTACAGCACTAGGGATCTGAACAGCCCGAAACCAGGGTGAGCAGCAGGAGCGGAACTGGGCACATGGTGAGTCCTGCCCCCCTTCACATTCAACCCCAAAGCCTCAGGAACCCCACACTAGAGAGCCGTGATGTTCCCAGGGACTAAAAAGAAGTAAATGCTAAGATTTATACTGACATACCGATTGTTTCATCTGTAGAAAACATTACAGCAAATACACCTCTTAGACAATTTTCCACTTCATCAACAGAAGTTAGCCAACATACACAGTGTGAACATGTCATATTTTCCTATAGAATTTGGATTAAATAAAGAGCTGACTTATTTTTAAGATTTTTAATTTATTTATTTGACAGAGAGAGAGAGCACAAGCGGCGGTGTAGCAGATAGAGGGAGAGGGAGAAGCAGGCTCCCTGTTGAGCAGGGAGCCTAATGTGGGGCTCAATCCCAGGACCCTGGGATCATGAACTGAGCCGAAGGCACTCGCTTAACCAACTGAGGAACCCAGGTGACACAAGAGCTGACTTAAAGGTTACAGAGCACGCATGCCTGGCTGGCTCAGTCAGAAGAGCATGGGACTCTCGATCTTGAGGTTGTCAGTTCGAGCCCCATGTCGGGTGTCGAGATTACTTAGAGAAGATTTTAAAAATAAATAAAAGTTACTGAGCACCCTATAATGGAAGCTTTCAATTAAGCATAAAAGGCAGCAGTGGCTGTGGGCCGTCTTTAAATGTATGCAGCCACAGTGTTTCACTGGAAGACCTGTATAAAGTCTGTCCCTGCAATGGATCATTCAGACATGAAAAGGAACGAAGTAGTAATACAGCCTTGAAACCTGCTCAGTGAGGGAAGGCCGGCAAGTCATGTGTTGTAGGATAGATACCCTTTCTAGAATTCACAGAAAATGCAAATCGAAAGAGAATGAGGAGTAACTTCCTAATTGGTACAGGGTTTCCTTTTTGGGGGTGAAAATGTTTTGGAACTGGGTAGAAGTGGTGATTGTACAGTACTGTGAATTTTCCCTTGGAGAGGCCGTGCCTGCTTCCTGCGTGCCCCACGGTCCTTGTCCAGCACGTCAGCCTGCTCATTCCTGTAGAGCACTTATCCCAAAGTAGCTTTCTTCCTTTGCCTGTTGTCTGTTTTGCCCATGGAGTGTAGGCTCCTGCAGGCCAGGGACCACGCCTGTCATGTTCACTGTGAAATCCCCAACCAATACGTGGCACGTGGCAGGCTCCTCAGAGCTACTTGTGTCTCTCAGAGCCACCTGCATCCCTTACGTCCCAAGCTTCTAACTGGTCCTTGGTGACCGAGGGGTGGTAGGGAGAGGCAGCTGGGCGTCCTGACACGTGCTACCAACCTGCAGTGCTCCCTGTCACCTCCACTTCTTGCTCACCTCTACTTCTTGCTCTGCCCTTCACATCCCAGACAGGTTTCAGGTAGCTCTTTTAACCCTTACATTCCTGTTAGGATCTTGGCTCTGAAATGGTGGGGGCCCCAAGGGAGAGACCGTCCCCCCAGAGAGAGGGCAAGGGGGCCTGGAGCAGGATGCCTACCAGCATGTAGGGGCTCCCGCTATTCACCTGCCCAGGGTCTAACTCCATACATGTGCTGCTGCTTGCCCTTCTGCGCTCCCTCCTAGGTGTTATTAATTATCCCAACCTCACGGATCCTTCATGAACCTCCTCAGCTTGGACCCTAATGTGTCCCCACCACACAGCTCTGCCTTCTCCACATTATGTCAACACCACTCTTCCCCCTGCTGCCCGAGGACATGTCTGCCTCCTCACTGGGGACACCAGCATCTCCCTTCCAGTCATGCAGTCTCCGCACCCAGTGAGCTGCTTCCTGTTGACCACAGAGGCGCTCAGTCTACAGTGTCCCTCTGACCCACACTCCTCCTTTACTCTGTGCCTCTCCCAGACTTGGGATTGGGATCTCAGTTGCTTTCTTCCCACAAATCTCCCACAACCAAAGCCATGTTCCTTCTCCTGTGCCTGTCACACCTCCCTTCTCCCAAAATGTACAAGATCGTTGCACTGACCAGATGTCAGACCTAGTCCCTAACTGGACAAGTGCATACTTTGTGAAACTCATCACTATCCCATACTGACCCGTTAATCCTGGCAGCAGCAGCAGCTCTAATACAACATTATTTTGTGTATAGCACATGGCATCTGCACTCAAGGAACCTTTCCACAAGAGACACTGGATTTTAATTCACCAACTCCCAATTTTCCTGATTCCCTGGGTGAGGGATAGTTGTCCTTTCCCTGGCCTTCTGTTGGGAACTATTCTGAGGTTCTACATTTGTATCAGGGACCCTAAACATTCACTGAATGTATCAGTGTCTATGTTATTGTAGCAAATGAGAAATTCTCCCCATAGACGAAGGGCAGGGGACCACCCCAAGCTAGCTCATAGTTTCTGGTGGGTGACAAAGGGCTACTGTGCATTTCTCAACTTGGCTCCTCTCCACTAGCCAGACTCTAGTGCTTCTTAGTTCTTCAAAATGAAACTCACCAGGTTCTGCATGCCTTTCCCCACCTGTTGCCCAGATGCACTCTGTACACCCTCAACCAGAGCCACAGCTTCCTGTTTCCTGGATGTTGCTCCCTCACCCAGGTCTGGATCTCCTCTGGCAACATGGTTAGAAACTGCCCCCAAACCAGCAGCTCCAGCATTTGCTCTTTTGAGTGTGTCTTAAGCCTTAGCCACTGACAACAGATTTCCCAGAGCTTGCTAAAAGCTTCGTGGGGGCAAGGTACCTCCTGGTAGGAGAACCGCCTGAAGTGCTGGCGGGAAGCTTTCGAGTCAGGGTTGGTGCCGTGAAGGACTTTCTGTCCCTGGGAGCAGTCCTTGCTTGGGGATGGGTATGCCTGGGGTTCCTTGTTGCAGCCACCATTTGCCTCATCAAACTGGCTGACTGGCAGCCACTTCTACCCTGTAGATCAGATTCCATTTTTTCTTATATCACTGGGAAGCCATTCTCCTGGACACCAGTGAAAGTCCTCCTGGAATCAGAGAAACATGAGAATATCTTAGTGGTGCAGAATCACGGCTGAAAAAGACTCGACGACTTGATAGGGAAGCTGCAGGAAATGGAAAAAGACAGCATAAAGTGATCTCATATTCCTTCCCTCTGCTTCTAGTGATGTACTTTCTGTCCTTTTCCTTTGCTCCCTCTACAATCCGAGAATCTAAAGCGCTGGAAATATCGAAACAGTTTTCTCCACAGCCAGACTGGTGTTTGCTCATGTATTCCCCAAGCTACTTTCACAGTGTAGTCTGGCTGTTCTTTCTTGTGTTCCATATTCTTGGGTCTTGTTCTCTCCCCTCCCTCCCCTCAGGAAGCCAGGAGCCACCTTCCCAATTGCCACCTTCTTGTAAGGTACCTCTGGATTAACCTCTTCATCATTTACACCTTCCTCTATCACCACCACACACACAGTGTGGATTAGAAATGACTGGCTTGCTGTATGCTTTCATTTTCCAGTATTCCTTCTTACTTCAGAATGCATCTTCTTCCTTTGTGATTGAGTCCCTCTAAACTCCAGTGGGTCTGGTGGGGCTATTCATTACAGTACCCTTCCCTCGCACCACAGGAGCAGGTATCTGACATAAACTGAGCCTGTCAGAATTCTCTGAGGTTTTACCTAAGGTGAGGTGGGAGAAGTTCCAAATTTCCTAGGAATTGCTGAATTGGGAGGATGTAAGACTGGAGCTATCTGTAATTGTGTCACTCAACATTCCACCCCTCCATCAAAGGAGTGGGCCTGTTCACACAAGTAAAAAAACACACCAAAAAAACAAACAAACAAACAAACAAAAAAAAACCTTTTAAAAAACTGGATTCAGGGGCGCCTGGGTGGCTCAGTCGTTAAGCGTCTGCCTTCGGCTCAGGTCATGATCCCAGGGTCCTGGGATGGAGCCCCGCATCGGGCTCCCTGCTCGGAGGGAAACCTGCTTCTCCCTCTCCCACTCCCCCTGCTTGTGTTCCCTCTCTCGCTGTGTCTCTCTCTGTCAAATAAATAAAATCTTAAAAACAAAACAAAACAAAAAACTGGATTCAGGTTGCTCTTCTTCCAAAGAACTTGAGCTGCCTTCACTTATAATCTCTTTACATATAATGCAGCCCAGGAGGCTAGAGATAAACGAAAGGCATTACTGGTAGCAGTCGTTTTTAACAAAAAAGGAGCATCACACGGCACAGCTCCTCAGCAGCAAGGCCCCGGCCTCGAAGATGTATGCCATGCCGCAGATTTGCACCTTATCCGGATGGCGAATAATTTAGTAAATGCTATCCTACTTTCATGCGGAATACGGAGCCTGTGCTCCTGACCGCTAACATCCCGTCCATAGTTCGTTTGAGAATGCTGCTCTCGCGTTCCACTCTGGCGAAGACCCAGGCGCTCGGCGGAAAGCAGGACGAGGGTGGGAGCCGGGCTGGTTCACGTCTCGCTCGGCAGAGATGCCCTGAGTCGTGCCGGCTCGCTGGGCGCGAGGGTCAGCAGCTGGGGCGGAAGCGGCGTGGGGAAGCACGCGCATGGTCACGGCCTGCAGGGAGTCCGGGCTGGCGGGTTCGGGGGGCCGGGGCGCGTGCGGGAGGCGCCCGCGCCTGTGCCCACCGTCCTGAAACGGCGGCGTCGGACCCAGCTTCGAGCCCCCGGCCGCGAGGAAGCAGAGCACTCAACCAATTCGCTCAGCCGCCGGTCCGGAAGTCAGCCTCTGGACACACCCCCACACCGCCCCGTACCCCCGGCGCTTGTCCACCCCCTGCGCATACTCGGGAGCAGCGCCATTGAACTACAGCTCCCGGCGCGCACTGCGAAGGCCGGTCGCCTTCCTTCGCCAGCATCGACAGATTCAGCAGCAAATAGGCGCGAGAGGCCGCCCTCTGGGAGCCAATCCCCCAGGAGAGGGGCGGGCCCGCCTGCGCCGTACTTCCTCGCGTCATTCCCCCTCAGCCAGTGGGAGTGTCCGCAACGAGCGGCCTCGGTCCCGCCCCCAGCCCTGGCTCCTGGGTTCCGGGTCCCAGGTCCCCAGAGAGGTGAGTCCGCTGCAGGTTGGCGCGGGGTCCTGGGCGGTCGGTGACGCTGCCGCCTCAGGCGTCAGCCCCCCGGGCTCGCGCGCAGCGGCGAAGTTGAGCAGCGCGCCGGAGAGCCGCCGCTTCGCCCAGCTGGAGGGCCGCCGGGGCGCTCTCCGAGGCCGGAGCGGGCGGGCCTGCCGGGTGTCGGGAGCTAGCGGCCGCCGCGCTCCGCCTGCCTTGCTGCGAGCTGGGGGCTTCCGCGCCCTCCGTGCCGCCTGCCCCGCAGCTCCCGGCGAGATGCTCGAGGTCGGCCCCGCCCGGGTGCCGGGGAGGTGGCGCAGGCCACCTGTGTGACAACTCGAACTTTTCCTGGGCTTTCCCGACCGCCAGTTGGGTCACGTTGCGCGATTCCTATGAGACCTCGTGCGTTTATCGATGAAATAAAAGCAGGATTTTCCTCCAGTTCCTTTCAGGACGTTATGACTTTGCTCCATTTCGAGACAGTTGAGGAAACTGCCAGAGGGACAGACTCTCCTCACCGTCAGGCTGTGTGTTGTTCTCGGGAGCTTGGGGCCTGTGTGTGCCCCGCCCTCCGCAACATCTTGCTGACATTTAGAGAGACTTCTGCAGAGCCATGAGCCCGAAGGCCTGAGCTGCTTCAGAGGAGAGAGATCCTGTCTCCTGAGCCCCAAAATGGCGGCTAAGATGGAGATAACTTTGAGCTCGCAGTCCCACATTCAGGCTTCCTCCAAGCCAGAGAGACACATAATAACAAAGCTGGAAGACAAACGGGGACCCGCTCTACAAAAAGACCGCCCCGATCCTGAGCTCTCCCGTCAGAGCTTTCGACGGTTTTGTTATCAAGAGGTGTCTGGACCCCAAGAGGCACTCTCCCGGCTCCAGCAGCTCTGCCGTCAGTGGCTGCAGCCCGAGCTGCATACCAAGGAACAGATTTTGGAGCTGCTAGTGCTGGAGCAGTTCCTGAACATCCTGCCTCTGGAGATCCAGGCTCGGGTCAGGCATCGATGTCCAATGAGCAGCAAGGAGATTGTGACCCTGGTGGAAGATTTTCAAAGAGCAGCCAAGAGACCAAAGCAGTGGGTAAGGAGGCCCCTCTCTCGTGGTCGCCTTTTTTCATCTGGATAGTATCTGGTCTCTGGATCCCTCCCTAGTTACTCAGAGTCCAGAAATGGACCTGATGGCTTCAAATGTTTCTTCTGGCCTCTATTTGGGAACCCCCCCTGGGAGATGTAATAGGTTTTTAGAAAACCAGCACTCCAGTGAGAAAGATGAGGATCAAGTGCAAGGATCCTTGCATTTTTGCCCACACATCCCACACCCATTCCTCCTGAAGTTTTCCTACAATCAGGATTCTTAGCAGGCAGGATCATCTTGTTGTGTAGGAATTTGATTTGGGGGGAACTTCATGGTGGACCTTGTTTCGGTGACGTGTCTTCCCTTCGGATCAGGAAGTTGCAGCTCACTTACTTGGCCAGTATTTCTTCCAACCCCACCCCCCAATTCAGACCGCATTCAGGGCCTGGGCAGGAAGCAAGTAACCATGTGCTTTGAGGAATGGAGGCAGTCAGGGAACAGGGTAGGCAGTCCTCTCCTAGCCCTACTACTACTGGGATCTCCTTATCAGGGAAGCTTTGGGCAGAACAATTTATTAGGTATGGGTGTTTTTTAATGGTCTCATCATATGCTTCTTGATCCAACGGGGCCTGTTTCCAATAGAATCTGCTGGATGGGTGACATAGGGTGGACATAGGGTGAGACATCGGATGTCTGGATGGACATAGGGTGAGAATCTGCTAGGCTAGTGTCATGACTGACCCTGTTACCTGTGCCTTCTCTCTGATGAGTTTGAGGCCCTGAGAAAGACCCGTTTACAGTTACCCACTCAGGAAGTCCTGGCCGATTTGAAGTAGCCTCCATGGATTGGGATTAGTCCCCCTAGTCATTCTGCATGTCCTTCCCTTTGCTACCTTTGAGAGTTTTCATAGTCTCAAAGTTGGCCTCCAGGCTGTTGTTGGTAATTCCCAGGGTAAAGGGATCATTACAAAGCAGTAAGAGGTCAAGCTGCCCCCAGTTAGTCCTCGAGCTGCACTCTAATGCATGGGGCTTGTTCCTAGGTGGCCGTTTGTATGCAGGGGCAGAAGGTGCTCTTGGAGAAGACTGGATCTCAGCTTGGAGAACAGGAACTGCCAGACTTTCAACTGCAAACTCCTAGGAGGTATCCCAGGGAGAGCTCTCTGGAGGAGCCATCCCAGGCTGGATCTCAAGATCAGCTGAGCTCTCATTGGGAAAAATCCCCGCTCCTTCAGGAGCCAAGCCCCAAATTGGCTGGCACAGGTAAACACTCTGTGCCTCTTCTCTCCCTCTCCTAAGTTCTTTACCTCCATCAGAACATCTTGTGGTTCTGAAACACCATAGACTGCATGTTGGGCTTTTTAATGTTTTATGTAACAGTAGATCTTTATTCCCTAACAGATTTCATTGATTAGAATAGCAGTGAGAGTGTATATCAAAAGTACGGTTTTATCATTTCCTGTTAATGACTCTGACAATCTGTTAATGACTCAGTGACAATACATAACAGGATTACCTCCTCTGTCCCCTTCAGAGCTTCTTGTAGTGAAGACAGATCACATATGACCACTGATGAACTTGCATCCAAACTGGCTGAGTTTCATCGCTTAAAATGGTCCCATGTTGAGAAGGGGCCTAAAGAATGTTATACTCATTAGAGGAAAAGTCCTGCTCCGTATTATTTTCTGCATCTTCCTCCTCTTGTGACATTGTCTGTGCTTTAAACCCTGTGTCCATTTCCCTGTCTGTGGTACAATGCCAGTCATTGCTGGCCCTGCTGTACTCAGTCCTGTGATCTCTAAGACTGAATAACAGAGACACTTTGGCCAGTCTTAGTGATGTGAGTAGAGGGGATGGTCAGCAGGTTAGAGAATGTTACCAGAAGGCTGGAATGCCTTGATTTCCTTAAGGTTTGCTACATTCAGTGAAACACTTCAGTTTGGTTATTCTCGGAATTTAGGAATGGAGAAGACCTGGGGCATCCAGCGGAAAAGCACTGTGACCCTGGCTGAGGTCCTGCCCCATATCCTATGGGCTTTGTGGTCCTGAGCATGCACACTCCCTTTTCCTGGCTCATCGTAGGCAGCTCAGTGTGCGTGCAGTCTCCATCTCCTTTTATTTGATCCCCAAAGGTAGGTTCTCATGTTCCTCACTCCTAAGATCCAGTAATGCCTTCCTTCAGAATTGCACTGCCCAGTAAGTTGCCAGTGTCCACATATGGTTATTTAAATTTTATTTATGGAGATATAATTCACATACTGTAAGATTCACCCCTTTGAAGTACACATTTCAGTGGTGTTTAGTACATTCACACACTTGTGTGACCATCCCCATTCGTCTAATTCTTAAAAATGTTCATGACCTCAAAAAGAAACCCAGACCTCTTGGCAGTTACTCTCCGGTGCCCCCTCTCTGGCCCCTGGCAACAACCATTTACTTTGTCTCTGGATTTGCCTATTGTGGATATTTCAGAATCATATATGTTGTGCTCTTTTTTGACTGGCTTTCACTGAGAAGGTGTTCAAGGTTTAACCATGTTGTCACATGTGTCACTCCTTCGTCCTTTTTACGGCTGATATGTCATTATATGGACATTTTGTTTATTCATCAGTTGATGGTCATTTGGGGTGTTTCCACTTTTTGGCTATTATGAATAGTGCTTCTATGAACATTTGTGTACAAGTTTTTGTGTGGATCTATGTTTTCATTTCTCTTGGCCATATACCTAGGAATGGAATTGCTGAGTCAGACATTAGCTCTTTGTTTAACCTTTTGAGGAAACGCCAGACTGTTTTCCAAAGTGGCTGCGCCATTTTACATTTCTATCAGCAATCCCTGTGAGGTCTCTAATTTCTCCACATCCTTGTCAACACTTGTTGTTGGTGTTTTGGTTATAGTAATCGCATTAGGTGTGAAGTGGTATCTCATAGATGTTTTATTTCCCTGATGGTGGATAATGTTGAGCATCTTTTCTTGTATTTATTGGTCAGTTGTATGTCTTCTTTGGAAAAATATCTATTCAAATCCTTTGCCCATCTCTAAATTGGGTTAGTCTTTTGTTGTAAGAGTTCTTTATATATCCTGGATACTCTACCCCTACATATAATTTGCAAGTATTTTCTCCCACCCTGGGTTGTCTTTCACTTCCTTGATAGTATCCTTTGAAGCACAAATGTTTCTAATTTTGGTCAAGTCCAATTTATCTATTTTTCTGTTAGTTTGCTTGTGTTTTGGTGACATATCTAAAATACCATTGCCTAATCCAAAATCACAAAGATTTACACCTATGTTTTGTTCAAAGAGACATTGGCTTAGGTCTTCTATTTAGGTCTTTGATCCATTTAGAGTTACTTTTTGTATGTGTTGTGAGCAAGGGTCCAACCTCACTTTTGCATGTGGAAATCCAGTTGTCCCAGCACCCTTTATTGAAAAGACTATTCTTTCCCCCATTTAATTGCCTTGACAACCTTGTTGAAAAGCAGTTGACCATAATTGTATAGGCTACTTATTTAAATCTGAATTAAAATGAAATAAAATTAGATAAAATTTAAAATTCAGTTTTCTCCATCACATTAGCCACATTTCAAGGACTCAGTAGCCCTATGTGGCTAGTGGCTGCCATATTGAATAGTATGTGCACATGCTCACGTACACACATACTTCCCACCTGGCAGGAATCCTGTGGGATAACACAGCTCTAGATCCTCCAACTTGCCCACAAACATTCCGGCTTGGTTCCATCCTGATCCTTAATCCTCATGGTCAGAAATTGCAGAGTTTCTGAAATTAGGATACATGTCTAGCCCATATTGCAGTTTGTAACCCTAATGCTGTCACGTTTATGAAGAGAAGAAAGAACATGCCACATTTGCTGGATTTCCCATTATTTGAAGAGACAGTGGTGATCAATCAGTGTCCATGTGAGTGAGTAGATTTGCAGTGTTGAAAGTTCAACTCTCTCCTTTCTTTTCATTTGTTAATTGACACTCAGGTCTGATAGGTTTGCTTTTCCATATTTCTTCTTTCCCTGACCTTTCACTAAAGGTAGGAAGGAGAGATGGCGTTGGAGAACCTGGTTCCTAATATTGATATAACTTATAATCACCCCAGGAGCCTGTTAGCCATGTAGATTTCCAGGACCCCACCGCCCAGAGATTCTGACTCAGCAGCCATGGGGATGCAGGGGCAGTCTGCTTGTCTAACAGGTGGCCCAGATGAGTCGAATGCAAGTTGCCAGTGGAGGACCACACTTTGAGAGTATTTCTTAGCTCTTTGGCTGAGCTGCTTTCTTCAAAGCCCAGAAAATGAAACATATTCTTTCTGATTATAGAGGCCCCCAGAATGAAAAGTGACAACAAGGAAAATCCACAGCCAGAGGGGGCTAAAGGAGGAAAGCCATGTGCAATGTCCCCTGGCAGATCCAAAGGGAATGGTCTGCAGAGTCCTGAGCCGAGAGGGGCGAATATGAATGAACCCCGGTTGTCACGGAGGCAGGTCAGCCCCCCGAATGCTCAGAAGCCATTTGCTCACTACCAGAGACATTGCAGGGAACTGGAATACATCAGCAGCCCCCTGAAAAGCCACCCACTGAGAGAGCTGAAGAAAAGCAAAGGAAGCAAAAGGAGCCTGAGCAGTCGTTTGCAGCGTCTTGGTCACCAGCCAACCCGCTCAGCAAAGAAGCCTTACAAATGTGATGACTGTGGGAAAAGCTTCACGTGGAATTCAGAGCTGAAAAGACACAAGCGTGTACACACAGGGGAGAGGCCCTACACATGCGGAGAATGTGGGAACTGCTTTGGGCGCCAGTCAACTCTGAAACTGCACCAGAGGATCCACACCGGGGAGAAGCCGTACCAGTGCAGCCAGTGTGGGAAAAGCTTTCGCCAGAGCTCAAACCTCCACCAGCACCACAGACTCCACCATGGGGACTGAAAGCAGGCTTTGTTCTCTCTGTTCAGAAGGAAGGCATCTGTGTTTCTCCTTCCCCTTACTTGCATGTAAATCACAGACTGTCTGTGTGACTTACAAGGAAAGGAAGAAGTCCCTGAGGAATGCTGGTGCACGTTTGGCTGCTCAGGAGTCCCAGAAGACACCAAGGGGGTTGTGACCCTGTCGGTGACAGAGTGAAGAGATGGCAGGTCTGGGTGTTGGGTCAGAGAGAACCAGGGTCTCTGCTGGAGAGCAGGGAGTAACTGCTAAGACAATCTGGCCAATCCTGCAGGTTCCCCTGCCCCTTTATTTATTCTCTAAACATGTCCAAGCGTAAATTACATATATACTTAATGTACTTGCTATCATACCAGACAATCTTTATCACACACACACACACACACACACACACTTCTTTAATAAATTCAGTGACCCACCAGAATTTCAAGGCAGAAGTTCATTGGAATATAAATCCCCTAATATTCTTACTGTAATTCCTGGCTGTTCATAACAAAGGACACATGAAGTGAGAGTCTGAACATGTTTGTATGAGGAGAGGCTTTCCAAGTAAATAGTGCTTTTACACACACACACACACACAGATTGAGGGATCTATTTATATGAAAGCATCTTTGATTTAGGAAGAAATCTCCACAGCTGCTGCAGCCCCCCCCCAGGCAACAGGGGAAAGCTACAACAGGAAAGAAGCACGTAGTGTGTGTAGACAGCTAAGGACATGCCAAAGGGACCCTTACTACTCTCCTTCCTCACTTAGGCCGGCAGCCTTAAGAATAACAAAATGATTGGGGTGATGAGTGTTATAAAAGTAGATTATTTCAGTACATTTACTTAAACTCATTGAAATAGGTTAATTTTATGATATATAAATTATATCAATGAATTTTCTTAAAAAACACAAAATATATTTGTATAAAATGTGAAAGTCCTGGAACGAGGCTGGAGAGTTGATTGAATTCCATCCTTTCATTCTCTCAAAGTAAAAATCCAAACCCAGTCAGTAGAGTGTTCAGTCACCCAGAGCAAGCCCGTGGACCTGAGTTCAGAGAGGACCTCCAGGAGATGGGTGCACAGCCTCCAGCAGGAAACGGGTAGGTGGCATTCTTGCTAAGGCATCAATATCCTCCAGTCACTGCCAGTCACCTCCAGGCTGTGTCCTGTGCTGCATCCTCACCTCCCAGGGCTCTGCACTCGCTGCTCCCTTTGATTTTACAACCTGCCACCCCCCACTGCTTCCTCCCTGTCCCGTCTCACAGGAGCATCCTACTCAGCAAAACCCTCTCTGACCGGTTCCAGGCCAACTTTATCGTGTCACTCCGTGCTGTACTCCACACACCAGTGGTGCTCAATCTGGGAGCAGATTTGCTCCTCCGCCCCCCGCCCCAGCGAGACATTTGGCCATGTCTGGAAATGCTGTTGCTCGTTATGACTTGGGGGGAGGGAGGGTAGCTCCTGGCCTCTTGTGGGTAGAGACCAGGGATGCAGCTAAATGTCCTCCAGTGCACAGGACAGCCCCATAGCAGAGTCACGTGGTCCAAAGTGTCAGTAGTGCCAGAGTTGGGCAACTATACCGTACATGGTAAAAGCTCTTTAAGGACAAGAATCTTATTTTTCCATCATTTTAGCTTTTAGACTAAGCCCATGCCCAGCCAAGGGAAATAGGTGTTCAGTCAGGGCCTGGTCCTGCCTGAACCAGAGATCCTGGTGACAGTGTGTTGAATGCAGTTGACAAAGCCTCTTGTCTTTTGGGCAGAGAGAGACTTTAGACTATGTCGCAGTCCGCTTCCCAGCAACCATGTTAGATGTTCGAGGAGCTTGTCTTTATTACTACGCCTGCACCTTACCTCGCCCCTGTCTGGCACCTCTCACTGGTCAGGGCCTCTTGATTCCTCATTTGCTCCCACCTCGTGCATCCTTTTCCAGGACAGTTTTGCTGTCACAAGACCCTCCTAATCATGGTTACGTCTGTCCGCTTCCTGTTGGGCTATAACATGATCACAAACTAGTGGCTTCAAACAACACAAACTTAATCTCTTAGAGTTCCAAGGTCAGAAGTCCAAAACCGGTTTCGCAGAACCAAAATCAAGGTGTCTGAGAGGAGAATCTGTTTCCTTGCCTTTCTCAGCTTCTAGTGGCCGCTTCTTCCATCTTCAAAGTGCATGCTTCCATCCTCTTGTCACCACATCACCTTGTCCTCTGACTCTGACCCTCTGGCCCCGTATAATAAAGAGCCATCATTATATTGGGCCCACCCAGATAATCCAAGATAATCCCCCATCTCAAGATTCTTAATCACATCTGCACAATCCCTTTTGCCATATAAGGTAACATTCACGGATTCCAGGGATGAGGATGTGGACATACTTGGGGGCCCAGATTCAACCAAGCACACCTGTCTGTTGAATCAATTTGGTTAGTCAAAGATCTCTCCTAAAAGCAAATGAACATAGATTTCCACTTTTCTTATTTATAAGAGTTGGGATAGGAACTCGTCCTTAAATGAAAGCTTTGTTTGGTGTATGTTGAAGAACCTGTATGTGTTTTCTCTCTTCTGAACAAAATAACTGCTGAATCTTAAAGTTTTGGGGTATCTGTTCAACTGTGGTCCTTGAATAAATATGACAAAATTACCAATCTGAATATTACTCATTCCCAAAAGGTTTTCAAGCCTGTGATGCTACCTCGCCTCTCCCAGTCCAGTTTTCCTCTGGCAGATGAAGCTCAACTCCAGATGAGGAGAGTCAGGGCTGGCAGAAGGCGCCCAGCCACATTTGCAGGTGTACTCAGTTCTTCAGATGTAGGATCCTTCCTGTCCCCCTTGCCCACGTGTGGTTCCACCACAGGGCCTCCGCACAGACCACTGACTTGAAGGCTTGCACTTAGCTACCCCATATAAGAAATACCCTTTCTTTTCACCCACGAGCAACCTGTAAGGTTTACCATCTTTTCTGGGTTTGGCCTGTATTTAGCCATGGAGGGGGATGACTCCCACAAGTTATGTGGTCCTCTGGTGGCCTCCATTGAGACAGGGGGAGAGGGAAGCATCATGCACGGTGGGGAATCTGGACCTCGCAGATGTCCCTGAAAAGCATTTTCCATCTACAGCACATAAAGACTTGTAAAACCCTTCCCATAATACTATTACCACTCCTGACAGAATTAATGACTCCCAAATACCATCCAATACATGGCGTTGAAATTTCCCCCAATGTTTCCAAAAGAAAAATGCTGTTTTTACAGCTTTATGGAGATCTATCTCACATAGAAGGTTCATCCATTTATATAGTTAATAAATTTTATCCATCCATTTATATAGTAAATAAATAAAAAGTCAATAATTACACTATATTCACAGAGTTGTGCAACCATCACCACAATCTAACTTGAGAACATTTTCAACAGCTAAAAAGAAACCCCGTCACATTTAGCAGTCACTCCCCATCCCTGTGCCCTCTTGAGCCCCCTCTTCACTCAGCACAAAGTCTTCAAGGTTCAGTCGTGTCATAGCAGGTATCAGTACTTTGGCCTTTCCGTGACTGAGTAATAGTCCACCGCGTGGATGGACCACTTTTGTTTATCCATTCATCCAGTGGACATTTGGTTGTTTCCATTTCGGGGCTCTTGTGAATAGTGCTGCTGTGAACGTGTGTACTAGTTTTTCTGTGAACAGGGCGCCTGCGTGGCTCAGTTGTTAAGTGTCTGCCTTCGGCTCAGGTCATGATCTCAGGGTCCTGGGATCGAGCCCTGCATCAGGCTCCCTTCTCAGTGGGGAGTCTGCTTCTCCCTCTCCCTCTGCTTCTCCTCCTTGCTCTTGCTCTTTCTCTCTCTCTCAAATAAATAAATAAAAATTTTTTAAAATCTTAAAGTTTTTCTTTGAACACATATTTTCATTTCTCTTGGGTAAATACTAGGAGTGGAATTGCTGGGTCATGTGGTAACATTACGTTTAGCCGTTTCTGAGGAGCTGCCAGGCTGTTTTCTACAGGGTCTGCACCCCAGTTCCCCACCTGCAGTGTGTGAGGGTCTCAGTTTCCCCACATCCCCGTCAGTGCTTGCTATCGTCGATTTGATTATAGCCACGCTAGTCTGTATGAAGTGCTGTCTCACTGTGGTTTTGGTTGGCGTTTCCCTGATGTTGGGCATCTTTTCATATGTTTCCTGGCTATTTGTGTATCTTCTTTGGAGAAATGGCTATTCAGAACCTCTGCTCTTTTAAAATTTGGTTGTCTTTTCATTGTTGTAAGAGTCTTTTATAGATCCTGGAATCAAGTCCTTATCAGATGTAGGACTTGCAAATATTTTCTCCCATTCTTTTATAATATACTTTTGTGCAATTGCAATACATCTTTTAAAGCAGCTGTCACCTGCCAAAATACAAAAGTGACCCACACGGTCACAATTCCTGAATTGGCGGTGAAACAGAAGTATGAGGCAACCCTCTCCAAATGTCACTCTCTAGAATGGCTCTAGAAACTTGTCTTGGACCAGATAAGGGCAGAGCCAGCTAGACACACCCCAAGAACCTACCTTGTCTTGGGGGTGACTTGGCTGTAGTCAGATCTGAGGCAGCTCATTAAGCTGGAGGCAGGGCTTTGCCAGCCCGATAACCTGGATGCATCATTTAAAACATCCAGGCCTGTTTCCTCCCCTGGAAATGGGAAGACCTGCCCTGCTTCCCTCACATGATCGGTGAAGTGAACATGTGTACGTGAAAGCATTTTGCCTCCTGGACAGCATCATATGAAAGGAAGGTGAATTCTGCGTCAAGTAATACAGAGCTTCTTGAATTCTCCCCTCAGCCCTTCAGATCCTGGAAGGAGCAAAGAGGCTGCAGGAATTCAGGGGAGGAGAGGTCCTATTTCCTGGATTTGGCATTTTTAACACCGCAGTCACAGGAGATAATGTCCTGAAAGGGAGAAGAATTTCTCCAAAAGGCTGTTTGGGGATAAAATTGGTGTCCTAGAGAGGGTCCCCAAAGCAGAGGCATCCCCTTTCTATCATGGCTCTTTGTGCTGCTCTTCGCTTTTTCTTTTTTTACTGTAGTAAAATATACATACAATTTACCACTTTAACCATTCATGATGGTTCAGTTCAGTGGCAGGAAGCACATTCACCCTGTTGTGCAGCCCTCGCCACCATCCTTCTCCAGAACTACTTCTTCCCAAACTGACACTCTGTCCCCATTAAACACTCCTCATTCCCCTCTCCCGGCACCCACCCTTCCACTTTCCGTCTCTGTGAGGTTGTCGATTCTAGGGACCTAGTGTAAGTGAAGTCACACGGTAGTTGTCCTTTTGTGACTGGCTTCTTTCACTCAGCATCATGTCCTCCAGGTTCGTCCATGCTGTACCGTGCGTCAGAATGTCTCTCCTTTTTAAGGCTGGATAATATTCCACTGTATGGACGGACCACATTTTGTGTAGCCATTCTTCCATTGGTGGACATTGGAGTTGTTGCCATCTTTTGGATATTGTGAATAACGTCTTCCTTACTTTTTGTAAATACCTAATGAAAAGTTTGCCACGGGGCCACAGAGCCTTGTGCGAGTGGCCCCCTGCTTTAGTGTTCCCGGAGTAGCTGCAAGCAGGAATGGGGCTGAGGTCTAGGGAGGGGCTTGCTCTAGAAGGTGGAGCAGAGGGTTAAGGGCAAGGAGAGAGACAGGGGTGGCAAAGGCAGGGTGTCCCTGACAGGAGCAGCTTTAAGCACCTTTTGAATACCCAAAAATGAAGGTTAAAATTGGGGGCTGCCTGGGTCCTACTGTGAGGTGTGAGGATATGTCTGGGGGTAATGGGCGGGGAGAGGCCACCTGCACGGGGACTCAGCTTTGTCGGGAGAGGACAGGAGCCGTGTGCTTTCTCTAGCTGGGGCTGAGGGGGGGTGAGTTGATGGATTCTGAGACTGACACAGTCCCAGGAAGTGGCAGAGCCCAGGAAGTGACACTGCAGAGGAGTACGGTTCATGTGGAACGTGGAGGTTCAGGCCAAAGACCGTGTCCAGAGGAGGAGTTTAAGGCACTTGCTTTACTTTTTGGAAAACTTTAAGAAAGGAGTGATGGGAGATAGTTCAGGGTAGTCACGTGTTTTAGTTTATTTGGGCTGCTATAACTAAGTACCAGACTCCATGGCTTACAAACAACAGACATTATCTCTCACGGTGCTGGAGGCTGGAAGTCCGAGATCAAGGTGCCAGCACCACCAGGTCGTGTTCCGGTGAGAGCCCTATTCCTGGTTCATAGTCGGCCATTTTGTCAGTGTGACTTCACATGGTGGAACGAGTGAGGACGCTCTCTGGGGTTTCTTTTATAAGAACAATAATCCTGTTCATGAGGCTCCACCCTCATGACCTAAGAACTTCCCAAAGGCCCCACCTCCTAATACCATCATCTTCGGGGGGTTCAGATTTCAACATACGAATTTTGGGGAAGCCTTAAACGTTTATTCAGACCATAGCACCAAGTGTGCATGAACTTTGGCTTTGGACAGACCTAGTTCCAATCCTGACTCTAGATCCCCTTTCAAATGTGTTTCTTCAGCTTTGTAAGGTTTAAATGAGAGGATCCAAGTTGTATGCTTCCAGGCCTGTCCTAGTCGTCTCAGGTTCTAAGATGCTGGACTTTGAGCCTTGCAAGCCTTTACCCCTGGGGCCTTGGTTGCTTCTGTGAATTCCCTGGAGAGGGGATGGGCAGGTGCAGGGGACCAGGGATGAGAGGGATCATGCTCTATCCTCTAGAATGCCCGCACAAAGGCTTTGTAAATTTCTGTCCATCTGAACTCTTCTGAATGTAGGGAAGGAGCCTGCCAGGGATGGTGTTTTCAGGGTGAAGGTGAAGTAAAGCATTTGAGGACACAGATACTCTGGAGGGCATGCCCCTGTATGTCCACTTCTGAGGCATATATGGCACCAAGCAGATGCTCCCCTGGGTAGGAAGTACTGTTCTAGAGGAGAACAGGAAGAGTCCTGTCTGATCCAGGATTTGGAGGCATCAGAGGTCATAGATGACACCAGAATCAGAGACCTGCCCTCAGGAAGAAATCAGAGCTAAGGAGGAAGTTCTCTCTGATAGAGAAGTTTGCTCTAGAGAGTAAGGGACCTCCTGGGGCAGGCGGAGGGGATGAGGTGCGAAGTTATATCCCAGAGGACCACTCACACCCCCTGTGGGGGGCGGGGAGGGTAGGAGGCTGAGTGGGAAGTGCCACTCCCAAGGCGGACTTGCATCTGCTTCCACTCAGGGCCAAGCTCTTCCCCCAAACCCCAGAGAAAACCCTCCCATCCTATTCTCTGAAACTATGTGACCTATTTTCCCTTTGAAACAGGTGAGTTCTGTGGAAGGAAACTGCCTAAACCAGACATCCCATCTTTTCTATTATTTATTTATAATCTTGCTGGGAACTGCATTCTTATATCAATATCCAGCTTATTTGATTTTTATTTTGATTTATAGTATTGAGCAAATTCTAACACACAGATTAGTTGCAAATGCTGTTTTAACAGCTCATCTTACAAGAGACTCTACTCTGTAAAGACAAAAGCAGCTTTACTATCAGGTCTGCACACAAATAAGCTGGCAGCAGAGATTATTTTCATGTCTTTAACATGTTATTTTGTATATTACATTTAAATGTATGGCAGTTGTA